TCTTAGTCAGTGGGTAGGTATCCAGAGAACTCATCACCATCAACAACAACAAAGAAGCTCTATTGAGCTGAAACGTCATCCTTGTGTGCATTTACCACACGGACACATTAAAGTTTGTGTGCAAGTTTGACTTTATTTCAAAACTGAATTATCTGGGAAAAAAAGCAGCTAACGATCAATTTGACTACACAAAAGTTTATTTGCTTTGTTTACTGATGAGGAAAAGTTGCTTCTTTAAAAATCAGGGAGACCTAGTTTGTAACACTGGATAGTGGATTTTGGAAATTTAAAACAAGTTTAATTAGTTAAGCAGTGCAGTAGTAAAGGCAGCAAATACTAATATGAATATATTTATTCCACCTACAGGAAAGTGCATTGCAGTCTAAGAGAATATTATTCTGACACAAAGGTAAGATTTCCCAAGCGTTCTCGTTCTAGCGTCCCACGTAGATCTCAGTGTTGGCATTCATTCTTCACTAACTCAATGGAATTAAGCCATGGGCGGCTCCACACTTCGAATGTGCACTGGTAGGGCTGAAAGGAAAAACAGACAATACATTTAACATTAGGATCTTTCAGGTGGTGTTGTCAAGTCATGTCAAGTACGCAAAAAAAAAAATTGATTTATTATGAAATAAAAAACAAAACATAGAAACATCAGAAATCAATTTGTTTCAGATGATCACTTTTCAACAGGACACTGGCAGTCAGCTGCAAAGAGATGTGCATCGAGCAAATCACTTACAGTGTGAATGCAGCTTTAATTACAAGGCTGCTGCATGATGTTTAAGAACAGATCAAATATCTTGCTTCTTTTGAGAAGAATGTCATCAGTACCTTAGCCTTTGCCTGATCTGTGTGGATTGCACACACTTCCTCTACACCATCCTTTCTGCAGGGGGTCTTTGCCATCTTCACAGTTATGACGTACTTGATGCCAGCGACCACCTGTAATGGGAAAGAAATTAAATACAAGATTTGGAGCAAATTAACTCCTCCTCCTCCTCTTCCTCTTCAAACCACCCGTGAGCAAAGAAGCTCACCAATGACTAGAAAAAACACAAACATCAACACACTGCTACGCTAGCCTTGTCTCAGGGTTCAAGAGGAGAGCCAAATAAACTTAAAAAAAATTAATAAATACATGACTCGTCAGCATATTAACCAATCTTTAGCAAAGATGTGCTTTTCGTCGGGTTCCTTTTTTTTCTAAACCCACACTGCTCTTCTGTTCGGGCGGGTCAATGGCTGCCTCCACACAGGTACACAGAACATTGCAGACCTACTGCTAAAGCTAGGTTGAGAGGATTAGGGAAGATTATTAAAGAGGCCAGCCATGTTTTGGGGAGTACCAACGCCATTAAGAAGGCATATAGCAAATAAATTGTATGTAACGACCATCGGCCTCTAGGACTTTAGTTTAGTGGTTAAAAGTGAAACCTTTAAAGGGCGCTTCGCAGGCCTTTTCTTAAGGGCTCACATCACTACGATGGTTTACTGGATGGCTTTCCCCTAAAGAACAATTCAGTTATTCACGAATCTGACCGTTACTCACCTGTGACTGAACCTTGATCACTTCTGCCACTTGACTGAGGTACAAATCGTTGCTGCCTCTGTTGTGTTGGACGACGGCGAAGTGGAGAGCGTTTTGCACATTTTCATCGTTGATATCGGCGTCTGTCAAGCCCCCGACCATGGCCCCATACCCAACGGCCAAAGCGGCCGCAAGAACAGTCAAAGCGACCTTCCACATTTTGTATCTTTTGCCTAACAAACACACAGGAGACGAAGTGAAACACTCTCCACCGTGCCCTCCCAGTTATATAAACATCGACGTCACCGCGCGCGAGGAGTGGCATATCTCGCAGCGAATCGGCAATCCCCGCAGCAGAGATCGGGTCTGATCCAGGCTGTTGTTGCGAACTCGCTCGCACTCTTTGCGTCTGCACGACTAGCACCCAGCTGCCCGCGGTTATCTGCAGAAATCAAACTACTCATATCGAAAACAAGGTATGTTTAATCTCGCTCGGATTTAATTTCCACACGCGACTTTTGAAGCGCTTTGCTGCGTGACAAAAAGGGGAACAAAAAAAAAAAGCATTCTTGACCTATGTCCCATTGTCCAGGTCTAAAGTCACCTGTGGACGCCCACTCCTGACCGCCTGGAACAGCACGATGCAGAGACTGCAGGTTTTGAAGTATGGCGGCACTTAACTTTACAATTATACGGAGAAATAAATAGATTGTTCTTTAAGTTTCCCCTAATATTTCCCCACACTTTGCAGGGACACTTTCTTTGGCTTGAGTGCTGCTCAGCAGCAGCAGCTACTGATCGGCTCAGCCGTGGCAGCAGGTGGAATAATGGCCTACATAGTTTACAAAAGAAAAAAACCAAGAACCATTCCTTTAGGGGACGGATGGTGGGGAGTGGGGGAGAAGACACTATCAGAAGATCAGAAAATCTACCCTTTTCAAGTGGAGACCTCAGACAAAGAGATCGAGGTAGGTTTGAGCTGGTAATCCAACTTCTGAATGAACAATATTTGGGCACAGTTATGCAAAGCAATCTTCTTGATCAACAGGATCTCTATGAGCGCATCGACAGGACACGCTACGCAGATCCTTTAGAAGATGGCAAGTTCCACTATGGCTTCAATTCCACTTATCTGAAGAAAGTTGTTTCCTATTGGAGACACGAGTTTGACTGGAAAAAGCAGGTGGCAGTGCTCAACAAGTATCCACACTTCAAAACCAAAATAGAAGGTACATAACAGCTCAGCAGTGAGTATACTGGATGTACGTCAACCCACACAGATATTTGCGCAATAATCAATCAGCAGTTATTATTAAAGTTGTTGTTTTGCTTTTCATGTGTCAGGACTGGACGTGCACTTTATCCATGTGCGTCCACCGCACCGCGAGAATCAGAAGGTTCTGCCTATCATGATCGTTCACGGCTGGCCCGGCTCCTTCTACGAGTTCTACAAGATTCTGCCGCTTCTCACGCAAAGCCGCGACGGTGTTGTGTTTGAGGTCATATGCCCGTCTATCCCTGGCTACGGTTTCTCAGAAGCCTCTCATAAACAAGGTAGAATACGTCTACTAATTCTAAATAAATCTGGCGGAAGATATTCACAAATGTGTCTCCACTGCCGCTCCAGGGTTCAACAGCCTCGCCGCCGCCCGGATTTTCCTGAAGCTGATGGAGCGTTTGGGCTTCTCTCAGTTCTATCTGCAGGGAGGGGACTGGGGCTCGCTCATCACCACCAACATGGCACAGATGAAGCCTCAGTGAGTGCAACAAAAACAGAAAACATGCCACAGGTTACTCGCTGGAACAGAAAGTCCCTTGCTCGCTTTGTGTTAATGGAAACATTGTGACAGTTCTTACTGGAACTGTGAAGCATTGTTTGCACTGTGCGGACAGATTTACAAAAAAACAAATGGCTGTGCAAATTCCTGAAGAGTGAAGCTGATTTAATGTGAAAACTGGCACTAACTAACTCGCTGTGACCTTGGTAACGTTTTTTTTCCTCTCGTCTTCCCCCCCCCCCCCCCCCCCCCCCCCCCCACCATTTCTGTTTTGCAGGTGCGTGAAGGGTCTCCACCTAAACATGTGTATGTCAAATAGGGGTTTCAAAGTCCTGTTGTCCTTGTTGATTGGCCCGTATCTGCCCTTCCTGGTTGGTTTGAGTCGGGAAGATGTTCGCCGGTTGTTCCCTTTCTTTGAGAAGAACGTCTTTGAGATGCTGAGAGAATCGGGCTACTTTCACATTCAGGCCACTAAACCAGATACTGCAGGTGTGAACATGACACAGTTTAGTAAGCTCAGTGTTTCTGATAGTCACAGTGACTGGATTAAAAGGTCAAACAGAAGCTAATGTAAGAGAAGCGACCTTAAATTTAGTGATTTAAGCTCTTGATACCGCTTTGTCGTTGCAGGCTGTGGGGTGAATGACTCTCCTGTAGGCTTGGCAGCCTGGATTTTGGAGAAGTTCTCCTCCTGGGCCGATCTGAAGAACAGAGATCTGGAGGACGGTGGGCTGGAGAGGTACAGTTTCTAAATTCTAGGACTGTGGAGATATTTAAATTAACAATTTGATCAATAATTGATTTTATGCAAATATTTTAGTTTTTAAAAAATATTGGTAGGTGTCCCTTTTCCCGACACTAGTCAACAGGGCAAGGATCGACCTAGATCGGTGCAGCTCTAACAATTACGGATTATTGTTTTTCATTCAGCAAGATTTGTGATAGCTGCTGGTTTGTGACTGATAAGAAATTGTGTCATCTGTGCAGAAAATTCAGCCTGGATGACCTCTTGACAAATGTCATGATCTACTGGACCACAGGCTCCATCACCTCGTCCATGCGCTTCTACAAAGAGAATTTGGGGAGTAATCTTAACAACAGAGTGGATTTTAAGTACGTCACCGTGTACTCTCCACACTACACATGAGTGTTTTACCATGTCATGTGATGCCTCTAATTATACATTATATATTTTTTGTTTTAGGACAGAGATTTTTGTGCCCACTGGCTTTGCAGCCTTTCCTAATGAGCTCATGCACTGCCCCAAGTCATGGGCACAAATTAGGTACCGAAACATCCAGTCCTACACTTTCATGCCCAGGGGTGGCCACTTTGCAGCCTTTGAAGAGCCCCAGCTGCTTGCTGACGACCTGTTCAATTTTGTCAAGAAGGTGGAGAAGTCCTGAAGCCCTCAGTGAACTCGCAGACCAGTTATAGCACATCTGTCCTTTATTATTTCAAGCAGGAGACATACAAATCCTTAAGTTGAACATTTTTACACCACGCAGCATCTTATCACTTGATTCGTGACACTCAAATCATTTGCAAGCTTTTGATATATGTAAACATGCACAGATGACACTGGCATAAAGAAGTCTTGGTCATTAAAAATGTATTGCACTAATAGTGTGTGTATTGCTCTGTGTTAAATGAGGACAAACATTCTTTTAAACGATAATTTGTAAAGGAAAAGGGTAGCACACCATACTGTTTATTTCACTATTGTTTGAATGAACATACTCTGAAACAAAAGAATAAGTCGAAATTGATTAAAATATGTACATTTTAATAAAAAACACAAATGTTTAAAGTTCCCTTGGATTGCTGTTAACATTTACTGTAGTACACAAGCACCAGAAAGAAAGTGCTACACTCTAAAGACTTACTGTCCAACTTTTAGGGTCAGTTACTGAAGCCCTTAATAGTCAAGGGTGCCTGAAACCACACATAATCCTCCCAGTCTGACCCCTCCGCCCTTGGTTCCTTGCAGACGTTTGGATCGCTAGACAGAACGATGATTTGTTTCTTTACACGAGTTGGGACTTTAAATTGGAGTTTGGGTCGAAACCAGCCTACACCACAGTCCCTGTGAGCCAGCACCAAGACTGTGGTGGGCATTAAGCGAACAGGTCTGGTGTCAGACAAAAGGTCAGCCACAAACAGTGTGCGGAAGATCTGCCTCAAGCACGATGACACCCGTAGACACAGATTCCCACCGGATGATGCCAGGGACTCCATGTTTATCTCGTACAGCTCTTTGGGGAGGACAAGCGAGCCACCCATTAACAGGAGCACACGGGGCACCCTGCTGAGGGAGAACAGCACCTCCAGATGCTGAAGCACTTCCTCCAGCTCCTGAAGGGTCTGCTGACACTTGCGCCAGTCCATGTCTGCTGAATGCACCGGTCTTCGATTCACTACGTCTTTATCCTGAAAAGCAAAAGAGACACCAAACATGTGTTAATCTCACATCACCAACATTTCGTCAACTGAACAGCTGGAGGCATCTACCATAAACTTTTCCGGTTCACCTGCACCGACGCTTGCTGCTTCCTCTGGGAGTATACCAACTGGTCGTACGTCATGGGCAGCTGCTGTCTTTGATAGAGGATGCACTTGAGGATCTCGCTGACGAAACGACAGCAGCCTTCCTGAGTTACAGTCCCCGGAAAGACCACGTTCACGCAGCCTTCCTCCTGTGCCCTCCTCACCACCTCGGCATCTCTGTCCTCTGCATCACTTTGTATACTGGCAGTCACTTTAATATGTTTAAAACCTCCCTGACAAGAAGCGTTATCCTCCTCTGTGTTATCTGGAAAAAACAACAACAAACAAACAAAAAATCAGCTTAACATTTATCTGAAAAGCCCATCTACTATACTACTAGATTATATATTTGTAGACTTGTAGGATGTGTTGGTCTGCAGCATTTCTGATGTAGCTGATAGAGCTGGGCTAAACAATCCCAATATCCATAGTATCGGATAGTGTGAGAGTCTTGTCAGTTCAGTGTGTAAAACTGAATTATATTAAATATTTTTTTAAACCCTCAAACATGCACCATGAAAAATGCCTGAACGTCTTTGAGTTGACTGTCACGTCTGTTTTATTTATGACCTATAGCACATTTAAATAACAAACTATTTGCTTCGATTTCAAAATACACCAAAAACAGAAAGGTGTGTTTTTGGTGTATTAAATAATTATAGCGGAAAGTTAGAAACAAAAATCAGTGATTTAATGGTCGTTAAATGTGTTCATTTGCATATTGACGATAATTCATCTGATAAATCATGACACACTGCTCTCCCTACAAAAGTTGCCTTTATAGGTTAAAAGTATTTGCAAAACTGACTCTGTATTTACTCGGTACCGAGTCGATACCAAAATGTACAGTGTAGAACAACAGAAGTAGCTCTAGCTGTTTTCTCCCTTGAAATCAAATTTACATCAAGAAAATAACCACAAAGTACTAATATCCTTAGACCAAAACCTTAATATAGTTTAGGAAACGTGATCACAGCAGTGGGTCTACTGTGATCACCCCCTCCCTCGTTGGGGAACACATGCAGACTCACACCGGTTATGTCACCTACTTTGATCGGAGGGTATAGCGGTGTTTTCCTTATCGTCAGTGTCGTTCACGCAGTGCTGTCTAGAAGAGTCGTCTTTTAACTTTACAGCATTTTTACCCTTTAAATGTGTGTTTACGGGACTTGGGGAACGTTGTTTGCTGATTTCCGGGGAAACTCTGCTTGAGTTTGGGTCTTCGGATACAGCTTGGACCTCAGGCGGTGTCTTCGGTGCCTCCGCTATGCTAATATCCTTTTCCGAGGAGAAGGAAAGGCGTCTCTTTATCCCGAGGTCTCTGCTTTTATCAGTGGACACATTTTCCGTGTCCTCGGAGTTTGATATTAGTTTTAATATGCTCGAGTCTTCTGCCATCGTTTTGAATATCCGCGCCGGGTTACGTCTTTTTTTCCCCCGGTGCATCATGGGAAATGCTCGTCAAAGGGAAAAAAAAAGCCACATTCACGTCACATATAAAAAAATAGAAAAACAAACGATGACTTTAAACTACCGACGGCCTTCTTATTGGTTCCTCAAACAAAACACCCTTAAATGTGTTTATTCTTACTGATTATAATTTCAAATAAGGCGTCTATTAAACTCCTTTAACTGTGCTAGCGTGCTTAAGTGGTTAAAGTAACTCAACGTATTTTTCCCTGACCATTTAAATAAACATTTTATTGGCTAAAATAAACTGAACTCCTGAGTCTCATTTGGAGCAATTACAACTGCCTCATTCAAATCATCTTAGGTTCACCTCTAGCCATTTAGAAAGTATTGGGTTTTATCAAATAAATCCTGCGTGTTTTTACATTGAATTTATTTACTGTTTTATTTATTAGATATTTAAACTACTTGAAACTCAGCTAAAGTCTCATTTAAATGCATATATATTGACTGATCCTCATTAAAGAACACCAGACAGTCACGCTATTTGTAAAGGTGAGCAAAAATAAAAGAATTTAGTTGGGGTGCACCCTAGCGGTTAGTTTGTGCAGTACATGGAGAAAACAAGGGCAAACCTCAGGTGTGATAATTAGCAGTGAAAACTTCTACAGATATCCAAACGTTTCTTTTAAAGAAGCACAAAGAAAGGTGGAGGAAGCGGCTGGACATTGTTTTGCCAGATTTCTTTTTAAAATATTAATAATGACTTCAGTGCGAGTAGCAGTCCGAGTCCGTCCATTGAACAAAAGGTAGGGAGAATGACTTCTTTTATTATCCACCAAGCTTTCAAAATGGGCTGTGTGTCACCCCCATACACTTTTCACAGAGAAAAGCAGTTATCCTCGAAGGTGATAATTCATATGAAGGAGAAGACAGCAACCATTCAAAAGGTATAGGTCTATTATCACAAAATGAAACGCACTATACTGCAGTAAATGAAGTTATTACTGAAAGTCAGCGGTACCTGCGTTTATAATTTTAGCCCACAGTTCGAGGGGACGAGCTCAAGGGCGCAGGGAAAACCTTTTCATATGATTTTTCATATGACTCATTTGACAGAAGAAGTCCCACGTTTGCATCCCAGGAGAAGGTATCTGGATTGTTCAATATCTCACCTGTTTAGAGATTTTATATTCCTTGTGAATTTTTAGTGGGGGTTAACGACCACGACTTTAGTGTGAAAGAACTGTTTTCCTCGCTGCGTTTTCCTCATTTTTAAATAATCTTTTCTCTGCTGCCTCAGATCTTCCGAGACTTGGGGTTTGAAGTCCTGAAAGCTGCATTTGAGGGTTACAATGCCTGCGTGATTGCTTATGGGCAAACAGGCTCAGGGAAGTCCTACACTATGATGGGTCCTTCAGTAAGGTCTTCTATTAACTTGGAAAACATTGTAACAAAAGTTTAAATGGAATTTATTGATGATTTGTGTGGAGTTTGTTTTTTCATTAAAATGCATTAATATA